ATGAAATTGTTTTTGTGCATGATCCAAAATAAATTACAGTCATGAAACTATAAATGTATCTTCATAGATCTTTTTGTTTTCCTATGTATGTATTTTAATCATTACAAAATATTAATTGAAAAATCAGTGAATTTTTCTCTTATTTTGGTGAAGGTTGAGTAGCTGTATGTAAACCCCAGTTCTCTCCACTAGGAAAAACCTGCTGAAGCAATATTTTAATTGAAAGGCTGTTCTACTTTACAGAGCAGAATGTAATTTTTAGTAAGTAAATATTTCTCTGGTTAAACTGTATTTAAATTGCTGCATAGAAAAAAGGAAACTCAAGAAAGTCTCATTTTCTTTATGAGAATCAGTATTCTGAAGGTTCAGTCCCTGAAATGTCACATTTCAGTTATTTTCCACTGTTAGTGATACTTACAAAGCACCTCTGCTGACCTGTCCTGGGCTGACACTGGCCGAAGGGGAGTCTGCCGTGGTGGTGCCCTCCTCTCTCTAGACCCTGCGCAGTAAGCGAGGCCCGTGGCCACTTACTCTCACTGTCCCACCTCATAAGCCTTCTTTAAACCCAGGCTCTTGGACCTACTGGCACCCTCTGCCAAATCTGATTACGTCCTCAGAGCTTGGCTGGTTGTTGGGGGCACTGAGTCATTAAACTTTTTTTTTTTCCGTTTGAGGTAGGTAAACATGCAGTGCCTAAATTAAAATGAGTGGCCCTCAGATGGTGTCATCTGAGGCATCATGCAGGCTGGTCAGCGTGGTATCTGGGAGCCTGCGACGACGCGGCTGACACTGGCGAGCACTGACGGCATCTCCAGGTATGTGCATTTGCGCACGACATACTCACTCCTGTGAAGTGGAAGCAGGTTTTTAGTGCCCTTGTATTTGTAAACCCAGACAGCTTCAAAGGGCTGAAGAGATTTGGCTCCAAATATTTAGAAAGGTTTCTCTTTATAATACCAAATGTCTTACACTATCCATCTCAAAGACGCTGCCAGCCTGCCAGGAGAAGATGAGGTGAGCAGTAGGAAAAATCCGGTCAAGTAATTATGATGCTGATCTCCCAAACATTTTAATGCACTTTTAAGCCACATGAAGATCTGTGATAAATGGCAAATATGAAGAAATAACAAAAGTAAAGATGCTCATTATGGACAAAATAGAAAAGTCTAGAGTTTAATAAGTCAGCACCTTTGAAAACAGATTGACTGCTCTGTAAGCGTTTTTCTCTAGCTGAAGGTGTAATTAAGTAGAGGATCTTAAGACTGAAAATTTATTTTCATGTTCAGTAAAGTAGTAAAGTCGGGTTATGTACACTATTTACAATGTCATGACTTTTAAAAAAATTACTTACACCTTCCTATTCTTCATGTTGTCTATGTGATTGTTTTTTTCTCCTGTTTATCTGCTATCAGTTCTTAGAAATGTTTGACATTTCATGTTTTCTTTTTCTTTCAGAATGTGGGCACTTGAAACAGAGTGAATGAATTGGGTACTTTTATATAAAAAGATAAATTTCAGAATCTAAAAGTTTTAATTTTAAAGGATTATAATTTATATTTAAGATAGTAGAATGTCCAATGCATAATAAATAAAGGGCCAACCTTTATTTCCCCCTCCTGAAGAGTTACCCAAGATGAAAAAAACAACAAAAACTAAACCACTGTTTGACCCAGATCACTCACAGGATGGAGGGGATACGCTTCCAGTGTCCCCTTTGCCCCAGCCGGCGTTCGGGGTCCATGTTCTGAGGTTGCCAACCTCAGGAGTGGAGCCCGTGACCTGAGCCAAGCCAGCCAGCTCGTTCCGTCTGCTGACCACGAGGACTGGTCTGGGGCAGGCGCACCATCTCAGCCAGTACAGACAGAATGAAGGTCAGGACTTTTGAAGGCAGTACTGGAACAAAGACCCTTACCTGGTATAGGGATGTACCGCTGGCAGCCGCCATGCAGCCCTGAGGGGAGAGCGCTCCTGCGACGGCCAGCCTTGGGGGAAATCAGGTCCTTCCCTCACTTGAGCCCCACCTCAAGCCGTATGTGAAGCCTCGGTTGCATCAGTTACATGGGCCTATAAGTAGCCTTCAGAGTTTAGGCTATTTCCATTGAATTTCCTGTTACTGGAAAGGATCCGTCTGTTACACAGGAATGTATGTCTGAAACCTGTCTGAAAACCCAGCAACCATCAGTGTCCATCGCTGAGCGGGTGACTCCACCCGAAGCACCCGTCCTAGGAGAAGTTAGAGACACCCTGGAAAGGCAAAACCAGCAGATGCCCAGTGACACACATCGGACAAACTCATTTTTATTTCATGTCTACCAACAGGGTTTCCTGGGCCAGAAGTGAGCCATATTTTTGTCACTGCCTGCTCAAAACTCAGGGGGTTATTTCCTCCAGTGATGAGACCTGTTACTGGTTCGTTCAGAGATGACATTATCCCAAGAGCTGACTTTTCAGCGTTTTGAGATCTCTGTAGTCATAGCGGAGGACACAGACGTTATTAACACAGAAAGCAAGCGCCTCTCCGATGGTGTGTCCTTTTGACAAGGTGGACGCGGGGAGCAGGCTGACAGGGAACAGAGACCCCTTCTCTGAGTTACGTCCGTTAGACCAGTGAGCACCTGTCATCGGATAAAATTTTAGTATTACTCAGTCACCAATTTCAAAGCTGTTTCCAACCAGCCACTGGTTGGAACTGCAGATCCCTGCCTTTCAGCCACGTGAGATTTATAGATAAGCATTTCAACAGTTCTTTAAAGTTGAAGAAGTGCTTTTCTCAAAGTTGCCTCATCTGAGGATCACGGAAACACTATTAATGAACAGATACATCAGCATTTCATTTACTACGTGGGGAGCTGGGGCTTAGAGAGGCCATGTGACTTGCCTGGACGTGCTAGGGTGTAAGAGCGGGGGCTCAGACCCACCCCGTGCTTCCTCTCCCAGACCAGCCCCGGCAGCCTTGTGTCAGTAGTCTGATGACACTGGGGAGAGGCACACCTGTTTTATCACCACGGACCGCGGGGTCCTTAAGGAGGGCGGGCAGAGCTGCACCTGACAGTATCTAGCATGTGTGACACTCTCCCGAGGGCTTTATGAAAACCATCATGCTGGAAACATCTTCTCTTTCCACCCATAGAACGATCCTCATAGTTTCCAAATCAGTATTCGTATGAGTGTTAGGAGGAAGGGGTTACATCTAATTTTTGTTTCTAACCATTTTATATTTTTTTTTAAAGGAAAGAGACCCTGGGTCTTTTTTATTTTATTTCAACAAAATAGGTCGTGGTTTAGTACGAGCCTTCCTCTGTCTTTTCTGCTTTCTCTTCCAGTGGCTTTTCTGTCTGTGATGGTGAGGGAAAAGAGGTTTGTCTAGCACACCTACTAAAATTGCATTTTGTCTCAGACTGACTTACCTAAAGTGCATTTCTGTTCCACTTTCTTGAAAGAGTTTATGTTTTTACTGGGAAGATAACTTATTCTGCAGTTTCATTATGACTGTAACTGACAGAGCCAACACCTAAGCTTTAGAAATAAGCCCACAAATACTTGTTTTTCTAGACTGAATGTTAGTTAGAAGAATATAGCCATTTTGTAATACAAAACAAGAGTGAGATGACCTAAACACTCCACCTTTGTATTCGTTTATGATTGAGTTATTGGCAAAATAAAGCGCATGGAACCCAGCCCCGCTCACGGGCTGCACGACGCAGACCCCCACCCGGCTGAGCCAGGCTACACCCGCGGAACCAAAGCCGGTCTGCAGACCGCTGGCGGCAAGACTGAGTCCTGGTGGTTGAAGACTACCGCGGTCTGGCGCGGTCTGTCACGCTGCGTGGCCGGGGACGGCCGGCGAGTGCCCGCGCTGGCCAAGACTGGGACCCGGAGCCTCCTCGCCGCATGAGGCTGAGGACTGATCGCCAAACTGCGTCAAGCGTCCTAAGTGGTGCTATGCCCTGTTAGTATTACTAACATCGCTGTCACTATCGATCTCACACTGAACTGGCCTCACCACCTCCCAGAACCAGAACTCTGAAGCCGTCTCAGTGGGACTGGGGAAGGAAATGTTGGGTTAGCATCTGTGGATTGACTATGTGGGACTGATGAGGAGGGAAAGGAAGCAAGGGGGTGGTGGGGGCGGAGAGGGAGAGGGAGGAGGAGGAAATTCAGGACCTGGGGGCTCCTGTTGTTCTGTACCGTCTCCCTTTTGGGGCCAGGGTCTGGGAAATCTGTGAGGCCGGCAGGCGCCGCCTTCCTGTCTCACCGGGAGACAGTGGGGCCGGACCCCCATCCTCTCCAGCGGGGCCCTG